CCCCAGCGAGACGCACTGTGGAAAAAAAAGACAATCTACCATCAATTCCCTTAAAATGGCCTGGAAGAAGCTAAAACCCAGACCTAAACCCAATAGAAAAACTGTGTGGGTTGCCTTACAGCTAGCGAGAGATTCCCTCTCAACAATCTGCTTATTTTGAGCCTTGAACGTACAACTTTAATGTCCCTCAGGGGCATTTTAGGGGTGCATACTGGTAGAAAACACACACACACACACACACACACACACACACACACACACACACACACTCGCTGGCCTCATATATGAGACACGGGAGCGGAAACGGGTCGAATCCTACTTCAAATTCTCCTTCCTCTCGGCTTGTCGACCGGGGAAAACAAACCGACCCGAGGCACCGCGGATGGGGATTTACTAATTAACTACTTACACACACACATGCACACACATACGCGCACGTACGCGCGCCCGCGAGAGAGAAAAAAAAAGGAGAGAGAGGTACTTCCTCCCTCCTCCTACTCGCATCCATCCACTCCCCCCCCCCCCCCCCCCCTCCTCCTTGGCTCCATCTCCTCGGCGGGTTCAGGTTGCTAGTCGAGTGTTACCTCTCGGCGCGCGCGTTTGGATGGACTGACAGCTTTGCTCAATTTCCCTCGACAAGAAACACCAAGACAGGAAAAAAAAAAAAAACAGCAGGCCAAAACTGCAGGTGAGTTTAACCTTTGCCCTGCTCCCGTGCCAAATCTCGTTCGCTTAATCGTTATTTTCCGCCTCGCACCTGTTTCGTGCGCTTTAGGAAAAGTTGAGTGACTCCAAGTGGGCTATCACGCATGTTTTGGATTTGCAGTGGTGTCATCGGCGTGGGCTGCGTGTTTTATTTTGAGTGTTTTGCGTGTGCGTGTGTGTCTTTTCAGGATGGCAGTTGAAGGGGAAAACTGGTTCGTGCGTAATTTACGCACGGTTCCTTCTTTCATTTGGGTCTCGATATTTTTTCACGGACTGGATTCCGATGTGCATCCAAACATTGAGTTGGCGACGTGTCGAGAAATGTGCACGTGTTTGGGGAGGGGGGGGGGGGGGGGGGGGGGGGGGGGGGGGGGGGGGTGGGGGGGGGGGGGGGGGGGGGGGGGAGGATTTACTTTGGGCATGTGGTGGGTTCAGGGTGCGTTGCTTTCGCCGCCCGAACTGGCCCGGATTAACCTCTTCAAGTGTCTCCATTTGTTCGAGCCTTCACCTCCACGCAGCTTTGCGTCCATCAGTCAATTAAACACGCGCGCTCAAGGCACCACCCACACCAGATCTTACAATACAAAGATTTCCCGTCTTTCTCGGTGATGTTTTTACTCGCTCATGTTTCGTCTCTTTTTTTTTTTTTTTGTGTTATTGCTACACAACTTTTTCTTTCAAAACCACTTGCACTCCTCTTTTTTTTTTCAAAGTTTCTCTTACCCACACCGCGTAGCTATTGCTGTGTTTTACCTCGTGGGATGGAAAGCTCAAAATAATATTTGATTTTTTTTTTTTTTTGCGGTGCTTTCCGTGTTATTTATCAGACGTCCGTCCACCCAGCTTTTGATCCATATGCATGAAACGTGTGTGCTTGTGCTTGTGTGTGTGTGCGCCGCATGTGCGTGTGCGTGAGTGTGTTTATGCCCGCCGTGGGTGTGTGCGATCCCGTCAACGATTTGTGGCGGCATACGTGTTTGCCCATCGATCCACGCATGTAACTATTGCAGATGAAGAGGCCAATCAATGGATACACTCAATCCACAACCCGTCTTCGCTTCTTCCTCGTGTTGATGTTTTTCTCTCTCGCCAGTCAACTTTGCATCTTTAGTTTGGGCCAGAACCCGTTATTTTTTTTAATAATCCAATAATTTAAGGTAAACGTTTATCTCGTGTGCAGACTGTCAGAAAATGTCAACTTCTGCCACCAAAATCAGACAGTATTAATTGCATTTCGCCTGCATGTGTTTATCCGATAATTCTTGTTATCTTTCGTTTTTAAGCATGCACCTTTCGTTAGAAAATGTGTTTTAAGGCAGATTTTAACATTTTCTGCGCATTCTTATTTCACGTCATGAGGAATGAAGTGACATGAAAGCAGCAAAACGCCCGCGCTCCAGTTTTCTGTGATTTTTTTTTTTCTTGGCACGCGGCTTCCAAAACCTTACAATATGCCCCGATTGTTGTTTCTGAATGATTGTAGTGCGTTTTTAATACTTTATTTTCATGGGCGAATTGTGTGGTTTCAAGAAACTGGAGCCTGTCGCTCAAAGTACGACTTTTCTGAATTCAGCTATCGCATTAATTTCAAGACTTCCAGCTCGGTTGCCATTTATTTGTATTTATTTGTGTGTGTTGTGAACTGAGTGTAAAAGTAATTCCCGCTGGGAGGTAGTAGTTCTATTTTTTTAATCCCCAAAGGCCTTGTGCTACTTCGTTCGCTTCTTTTTAAAGCTCCTGCGCGACGGAAGCTGAGAAAGTTTCACAACGAGTTACTCGAATTAATGTAAGACTCATTAACTTCCTTTCCCGAATTTCGAAAGGGGGTGCGCAGTGTCACGTGATGAAAGCGCGACTGATTCGCTCCTCGTCGAGTGTGTTGCAGGCCGAGCGCGTCCACAGCAACCAGTCGGAAAGGCCCGCAATTAAAAACAACACACACCTTTTCCCGTCTTCAAAGAAAAAAAAAAATCAAAAACTTCCGCAAAATTATCCAACCGAAATACGACATGTTGTTTTTATTTCTTGTCCAAGAGAGTAATTGTGGAAATACATTAAAGACGGACCGTGACAGGAATAACAGGAACATCTGTACTTTTAAATCAAACTTTAAAGGGCATGTGGAACGAAAAAAATAAAAAATAAAATCTGCCTGACTTCGATACAGATCGAAGTCAACATTGTCTATTTTTAATATCATGTCTTTTGAATCGATTAAAAAAACGTTTTGGAACGAATAAAAAACAATGAAGACATTGTTGCTTCGCGTATAGATTTTAATATTGTTTATATTTGATGCGGTACTTTCCACCCGTGCGTGTGTGTGCTGTTTTTACGCCTAATATTTATTTATTTAAAAAAAAACCTGCTCATTAGTATAAAAGCAAAGTGAAAAGACTTTTTCAATGTGTTTTTTTTCCTGCTAAACTGTAAACAAGGAAATGACCGTAAATAAACGTCAAAAATTATGTACAGCTTTTTTTTTTGTCTCTGACACGTGATTGGCTGTTTCATTTATAACAGTTTGACTTGTTTTGCCGTTTTTTTTTTTTTTTGGTTTGTTTGTTTTTTTTAGAGACGCTTCGAAGTTTTGCGAGCCTGCTCGGGACCCAACCCAGGCGGCGAGCGTCTCCCGTGCGAGGCCGACAGACGGCGGTCGGGCTTCGGCCTCGGGTGAATCGCTGAGGCGCGGGGCGACGCGGAGCTCCAGCAGCAGGTAAGGCAAACTTTCACCGACGTCGACCTCACCTCCGCATTGATCGGCGTAAAATGCTCTTTGGGAAATGTTAAAATAAGACGACAGCAGGGGTACATGTACAGGAATTGGCATGGGACCATTTGAAGTAAAAACAAAACAAAACAAAAAAAAATCTAATATGTTTTTAAATTCCGAGAACATGTTCATAATGTATCTTTTGTGGCAAATCAAATTTTCCCATATGATTAAAAGACAACTAAAAAAATTACACATCAATCACATGCATTGAAATTTCAGCTTTGCTTTTTTTTTTTTTTTACAATTTAAAACCTAAAACATATTCCTGTAGCATTGCTGCGTACAAAAGTGAAAGAAAATAATTAGACATGAGATTATTACATTTATGGAAGGAAATAAAGCAGGTGAATAGCAAAATGTTCTACCTTTTTGTCCATGGGATTGTGAATACTTTTTTTGTGTCGTGGTTGGAGTAAACTGAAGATGTATACTGTACATAATTGTCAATAAAAAGAAGGCTCTAGTAAAATTAAAACCCTGACTCAACTACTGTACTGAAGTATAAAAAAAAAAAAATCCTCAAAGGTACACAAGTACAAAAATAAAACAAAATTGTTTAATCAATTTAGACAACATCCATTTTGATCCAACCCTTTCCATCCTGAAAATATTTAGTAGTGAACTTTATTTCGGTGAGTTTTTTTTCCCATGTGTCTGTAATCTTTGTTTTTTTGCAACAGTCAAGCATGTTGTTAAACTGTGTATAATGTCACAGCGGCTTCCAGTAAAATAAAAAGAAAGAAACATTGAACAGTTTGCTCATCATGCTAAATTCATTGTGATGGCGCAGCTCCTTCTGGTGTGCAATATAATTGAGTTTTTCACAGTTCTTTAAGTACTGTGAGTGACTCCGTAAACTGCTCGTTTTAGTTTTTTTGTTTTTGTTTTTTGTTTTTTTTTTTTGCAGAGGATGAAGAATATTTGCTAAATATATTCCTGTGAGTATCGTTGTATTGTTTGTCTCCATAAGTTGCTGCGCCCTTTGTGTTCAGAAGTCTGCGACTGAACACCACGACTTAGACGCTATCCATTAGCACCTTAGTGGCCTTTTGCATTGTTTGTTAGTTTGAAGCTAAGCGGACTTTTTATAAGGCAAAGTCAGGCAGTTTGTGTCATTGTCTTTGTTTTCTGTTGAGTTTTCGAATACACTTGAGGCCTTCTTGTTGCAGAATTGATGCTTGTTGCCAAGTGACTGCCGGGATACAAACGTCACTCTTATCTCAAATCGTTTGATTGCAAGTCACAGCAATGCCCAGTCACTGTAAAAACACGGCTACGCGTTCAAGATGATGTGCAAAAAAATGCCACGTCGATTTACAACTGAACGCAATGTTGCAGCAGACTCCTCAAAGGTGTGTTGTCGCCGGCAGCCGTTAACGCTGAAGATAGCAGCTGTGAAGGCCTCCGACACACACACACACACACACACACACACACACACACACACACACACACACACACACACACACACACACACACACGAGTCCTCCCCTTCCTGATATGAGCCCCTCAGCTCATCTTCCATTCTGCATCTCACTATTCATTATTCAGCGCTCATTTCTTGTTGTTTTCTGGGAGGGGCTTATTTCTTCTTCACAACCTGTTGCACGTGTAGAAGATTGTTGGGGGTGGGAGGGAGGTCTGGGGGACAGCTGCTGCAACCCCACCTCCTTACTTGTTGTCTGGCCATAAGTACAAACTTGTACACACTGATAAGAGTGGCAGCTTTCCATCTATCTCTGCCATCGGCGCCGTGGGCGCATTTGGCGGAGCGGCTGCGAGGCGTGAAAGGTCACGTAATCAATGGCGCGCAATTTGACAAATCCCCGCCGCCGCTCTTATCGTCCTTGTGGGCATTTTGATGCAGCGCCAGAAGCGGAGGCCGATAAACGCCTTAATCCTGGAAGCCAAGCTGCTGAAGTTGACTGTCAAGCTCAACGTCAAACTAAGAGAGTTGCAGGCATAGTGTGAGAGTGATTTTTAGATTATTTTGACAGATTTTTTTTTCAAGGCCCACAGAATATTGTGTTCAATGATGAAATTTCCATGAAATCAACCAAATGCAAGATGAGACTCTTGTTTCGACAAAAAACAACTTTGATGCATGCCTCCTCTCTTCTTTACTAATCAGCAAGGAAGATTCAAGAAATTCAACCGCTTTGTCCAAAACCTGGAGGAAAATAGATATTTGTGTCAACAAACATATCAATCAAAACGTTGACTTGGTTCCAAATATTTTTGCTTTCATGACATTTCTAAAATCGGAATAATGGTTTCACTCTGTAGAACCAGCTTTTTCAACATTTCGGAATCTTTTTTGAGAGCAAAATAATAGTCTGTGAATAACGTCAACTCACCAGTAGGACGTCAGCCGTTAGCGGATGTTCATGCGACCACCTTGTTATCTTTCCAAGATCGACGTTGTCCTTTTTCTAATTTATGACACACATACTTCTATATACATACATGAATATGTTCCCTTTTTGATTGTATGCTTCAGATTTGTCCAATTAATTTTGTTTTTTTGGACTGTGCTGTGGAGCTAGGACAATGAATAAACCGCCCTGCCGCACCCCATGATCAACAATTGGCAAACACCGCAACTCTCTGCTGTTGCCTCGGCTCATCACCACTCCTAAGAAGCACTTGCGATTTAAAGGGACGGATGAATGAACAAATAACTCAACCATGGCACTGAATGTTTTGATTCCAATGGACTTCTGAAGTCGTTCGTTGCATTTAATGAGTTCATGCTAATGGTAGCAGAAAATAGGAAATCCACAGAGCAACTAATATGTGAACATAAACTACACCAACACGTTTACACATTCAAAACGGTGTCTATTCTTTATCCTCAGTGAGGAGCTGAGATTTCTATATTGTACTTGCACACGTCTGCGTCCTGTCCGTCGGCCCGTCTTATCCTGTCTAATAAAAGCCTCCCTCCAAATGGACACCTTGATAAGGTTCCACCAAAACAGCTGCATCAAACCAAAATGGCCGACTTGCCGTTGAATATTTTCCATGTGTCCTTGAGACTTTTTTTTTTTTTCAATGTCCTGATATGTCATGATGGACATGTCCACCGAAAGTTTCCAGGGAGCACTATTGATACTACAGCTGACAGCTTGTAGATGGATGGAAACAAAAGGTGTGAGAGCTTTGGAGGTGTCGTGTGGCGCGTTTAAGCAGCCTGCAGCTGAGTGCAACCAACAGGAAAATGAGATTTTTTTTTTTTTTTTTCGCCCAACAGACTGGCCAACCTCTCTTCGTTTTGGAGCATACATTTCCAAGTAAGGGCACACAATTGTATGTTAGTGGTCATGAGGCGACTCAATTTCATACGTGGAAGTAAGTGTGACAGCTTGGTTTGGGCTTGGCAACGCAAAACTTTTCCCGTGATTCTCATTTTAAACATTCCAACTAAACAATTACATTGTTGTGATCGCAAGGTGTCAATTTTTTTTTCAAACTGTGAACGGAGTCCTCACACTTGATGAAGCAGCATGTAGCTCATGAGGCAACGTTACTTTGAACGCACCGTTCTAAATCGATTGTTCACAAATGTATGTTTGTGATCACACGACAGCTCAGTGCTTTGAATTACTGATGCGGCGGTCTTTAGACTTGATGAAGCATCATGTGGCTCATGACCCAACATCATTTTGAACGTTATGTTTCGGAGTAAATGTAAAAGAGACGGTTCAGTGCTTAGTATATTATAAGTGGGACAGCGTATTTTTGCACTTGGTGTAGCAGCATGTGGCTCTTTAACCATGGTCATTTTAAGAGGTTTGGTCCGAGTATCTGTACACACCGTTACATTTAATGCGTCCCCCCCCCCCCAAAAAGAAATGGGGGTCAAAAATGGAACAACCGACCACTTGGGTCAATTCGACCCAACTTTCTGGGTTGTTTTGTACAAAACAATTTTGGCTGCAAATTGGGATTTATTTATTTTATTTCAACATGAGTCCATGATGAGTCCAAGTGAAGGACGAAGTGGTCAACAATCCTCCCGCTGCAATCCGTGCTCCCATGTTCCTGATGTGTATCGCCCATGCTGTCGACGCGGGGGTCTATTGGGAGATGGCGCGCGGCGATAGCCGGGCACTGGTGTGACTCGGACACAACGGTACATAAATCAAACGCACAGGTTGGAGCGCTGCCCGCGTTTATCTGGCCTCCGTGATAGACTCTGCATAGACTCAGCCAGGTGTCGCCATGCCTTGTTAAGTGTAAGAGTAATGTTGTATTTAAACCATTGTTAAGGCCCTGCTTTCTTTCGAGGCACTCCATTGTTATTCTGACAGACCACAAGTGTGGAAATTAATGAGGCAAACTAAAGGACAGGAAATCCCCCCACGCATCATGGTTTCTGGGTTCACAGCTCTGCTATTTTTGCACTTGTTTTTTTTTTTTTTTGTACATGACATAACTCCGTTTTGTTCTGCCTCCCATTTATTTTGGGTGTAATTCTATTGTCGACCATTAGATGGTGGCGCAATAGGTAGTTCACCTCAGCCCAGTTTTGACTGAAGAACTCATCTTGAATCCTGCTTTTTATGCCAACGGAAAGCAACTGCTGGACGTTCATTTTAGCTCTTTCGGCATGATTATTGATGTGTATTGTGAAATACGTTAAGGTTCTCAATTCGGAGATTTGTTCCTTGTAATTGAGATGTGTTGCCTGTAAACACCTAGAAAACGGTGGGTAAATTATATAATAGAGGGAGTCATAAATTTTCATCACTGCTACTGGCGGGGGTGGG